AGCAGGAAGTATAATGTTACTGGTATGATGAGAGTTGGGGAAAGGTCTGAGAATTGATTAGGCTAAATATAGAAATGGTACCTCTTAGCAATGCCTATGTTAGGACTTCCCATGAAAGCTTTGATATTCTCTACGTTCATGCTTAAACGCCACTGTAAATGCACACTTCCACCACACATGTAAGTGATTTGGAGGTTATAATATGATTTGAATATCTAGAGATGAAAAGGTTTTCAGAATTATGATAGGAAAAAGATTCCACTTACTGTAGCAACTGACAAGATAAAAAGGGAATAAACTTAACCAAAATATGCAAGAAACCTTTAAACACTATCAAATAATACAAATGACTTGAGCTAATGAAGACTCAATATCATAAAGACGGCAATTCTCTCTATTTTAATTTAAAATTTAATGTTATGTCCCTAGCTAGTTTTGCTCAGTGGGTAGGGCGTTGGCCTGTGGACTGAGAGCCTTGGATTTGATCTGTTCAAGGACACATGCCTCAATTGCAGGCTCCTGGCCCTGGTCAGGGGCATGCAGGAGGCAACCAATCGATGTGTCTCTCTCACATCAGTGTTTCTCTCTTTCTCTCCTTCTCCCTTCCACTCTCTCTAAAAATATGGAAAAATATCCTCAGGTAAGGATTATTAAAAAAATAAAATAAAATTTAATGTTATGATACCAATAACAATACTATCATTTTTTTATTTTATTTTTATTTTTTTTACTGGATGAACTGAATATAAAATTCACATGGCAAAATCAAGAAGAATACACTCCCCCAAACCATAAAAAACAAACAAACCAGAGAGGTGAGACTAGCCATTCCAGACAGTAAATCATACCCTAATGTTTTAATAATGTGAACACTATGGTAGCAGTCCAAGACTAGCCAGAGAAACCGATGAAACAGGACAGGAAGTACAGAAAGAGACGCAAACACATGCCACGTGGTAAAGAGGCCATGGAAGGTCGGAGGGAAAATACGCATTAGTCAGTAAATAGCACTGATCCAGATGGTACTGGCTGGCTATCTACAGGATAAATTTGTATCTGCAGAATAAATTCCAAGTGGATTGAAAATGTAAGTCTAAAAAGTGAAATCATAAGAGCACCAGAAGAATCCATGAGAAAATTCCTGTATGAGCTTGAATGCTCAGAAGCCATAAAAGAAAAGGTATATTTAATTACATTGAAATGTCTTCATAGCTAAGCACAATGTTAGCTAAGTCAACATACACTAATTAAGTGGTAAATATATTTGTAGCCATATTTGAAATAGCAAAAATATTGGAAACATTTTTAATGTCTTCTGTAGAGACCAGTTAAAAAATCGTGTTTGATGCATATACTGCTATAAAAAAGAAGGGAGTTCTCTGTGTATTGATATATAAAAGAATATCGAGATACATTATGAAGTGGAAAATGCAAAAAAGAAATTACACACACACGCACACACACACACACACACACACACACCTAATCTAATAATAGACAAACATGGTAATTGAGTGTACCTCTGCTATGCTTCCCATTGGCTAATCAGCAGGATATGCAAATTAACCCAACCAAGCTGGTGGCCGGCAGCCACACAGCTGAAGCGAGCAGGAGGCTTGCTTGCTCCAGTGATGGAGGAAGCCAAGGTTCCCTGCCTGCTGCGGTCCAGCTCTGAGCTCCACTCTAAGCAACAAAGTTGCAATTATAGAAGCTAAACAAACCCCAGATACCTGCTTTCAGCAGGCCCTGGCCTCGGAGCTGGAGTGGCAACAAAGTTTCAGTTATATAAGGTAAATAAATTCCAGAGTAAAAAAAGGATAGTCTGGGAGCTTCAGTCACTGGTGGGCTTGGCCAGCCTGAAAACCCTCAACCTTTCATCCAGGCTGGCCAGGCACCCCAGCGGGACCCCCACCCTGATCCGGGACACACTTCAGGGCAAAACAGCCGGACACC